GCATTTACGTAAGAGCTTAAGGAAAATGGAATAAAAAGGCCACATATAAGAAACATACTTGATTTTGATCCACAGGTTGGTGATATTTGGCCACTGGAACAAGTACACATGTTAGGACGGGAACAAAATCCATCTCCACAACTATTTCTACAAATTGCTGTAGAAACACAATAGGAAAGTAAATAAATAATTATATAATAAATTATAGTTTACAGAGCAATATATTTAAAAACAAAACAGGAAAAACTAAGATAAAACATGTGATGCAAAATGGTTAACTTCAGATATGCAATAAATTATTCATTATACACATGAAAATAAGACTCATAAGTGTTCTTATGATGATGGACACACAAATGAAACTAGTTTAAATTCCATAGTCTTAATTCTTTAACTCTCCTATCAATATCCATTTAAGACTAAGAGTTTAAACACAGAATTCAACAAGAGAAGACAATCTTGGCCCTGGGGAGCTGGGAGGGTTGAGGAAACCTCGAGAAAACATAGCCCACTATGCAAAGGACCTTCACAGGAGACAGAGAATGTGAAATGGGCTGAACAACAGACTTTAGGCCCTAATGACTTGGTCAAGTGTCCGGGGTTCCACGCACATTTCTTCCTCACTGATATCTGACCTACCTCATCATCATTATTTGTTCCCCTCAGTAACTCCCTGTCTTTCCTCTAGTCATTCTTCTCTCATATTATCTCCACAACCCACCCTATTCCTGCTGCTAGGAAAAGCCACTGAGACATTTTGATGGGGGGAGAGTCAAAGCCTCCCACGGCTGTGACCTCCAACAAGCATAAAGGTATGAGGGTCATCACAGCAAAGAATGTTAGGCTCACTGACACAGCACATACCACAGACACTCCAAATTTGTAGTCAAGTACCATCAAATGGGCGTTCTCTCCCATATTTAGAATCAGTTCAGTTAGGAGCTGAGAGATTTATCTCTATACCCACAATAGAATTCTCTTTGAGCACAAACGTTGTATCCTTTAATACTCCTTGACTGGACTTATGAAGATAAGAGAGTCTAGGAGCACCCTGAACTAGCCGTAAATATTTATGCCAATGTGTGTGTGTGTGTGAGTGTGTGTGTGTGTGTGTGTCCCTTGCTAGGGAGAGTCTCACAGCTTTCAAAGAGACCTGGAACTCCCCATTCATGAAGACAGCATTTTCTACAGAAGCAAACTAACTCAACAATAATTTTCCTTCTCCAAATTGCCTTTTGACAGCCATATATTATGACCAGCATCTTCATTATTGCTACTCATAAATGAAAACCGTGTCAAATATCATGGTGTAAAGATGAAAAAAAACTAATTTCAGGTAAAAATATGGTTCCTGCCATGGAGTTGACTATTACTTGTTAAAGTGTACTAAAGTTTCTGATCACCAGTAAACTTTCAATGACAAATGTTCATTAAAATATTATTTTATCTCGAAGTCCTCCCTCCACAGCAGGTAGATATTTAGTCTAGGCTTAGGTGAGATCAAAAGCAAGTCCATCCACATCCTAAAGCAAATGAAAGTTTGATAGACTATACACTGGACATTTTCAGTTACCTGTCATGGCTACAAGTGCATATTCTACATCTGGGAGCCAGTGAGAAGCAAGATTGCCTGTTCCCTTTTGTCCCACACCTCCCCAGACTATAGTATTCACCTGAATATTTGTTTTTCCATGAAAGCCAGAAATACCAGAGGGAAAGGAAGGAGGACCTTCATGCTAGGACTTCAGTGATCTGAGAGAAGTCACATGGCCAGGTAGAGAGTACATAGTACCCAAGAGGTGTGAGGTTGAGTTCTCATCTGCCAGTGATCTACTGTGAGCTACAGAAAAACCTACAGCTTCTCTGCGTTCAGTTTTCTCCTTGGCAGCATAACATAAAGGAATTACATTGGAATGTAAAGAGTGAAGAGACACTGTGTCTCTTCAGGTCTCAAATGCTATGACTCTAAGTCAACCCCATTTCACTGTTATTTCACTGATCAAAATACTGTTCACAGCTTAATTTCATAATAAAGTAAACTTTTTCATTGTTTCATGTTCTAAGAGATAAAAAATTGAAAGTGAGAAAGTCAATTCCATCCTTTTGGAAACAAATATTTCGAAGTTTGAAAGTACTTCAGTGATTGTTTTTTCTTCAGGCTATAAGAACACAACAAAACAGACACTCAGATCAAAATGTATTTGGTTTCCAGTCCTTCAAGAAAAACACTTTCCCTTTAATATCTTCTTCTCCTCAGGAAGCTCGGTCAAAACCAAACAGATTAAAATTCTAAAAGCTGATTATTTTTATGTACTTCTATATAGAAATAATACTGAGATATAAATGTATGAGAACACCTATGTTTGGTCCTTATTTTATATTTGTTTTTACTTTTTTTTTTTCAAATTGCCTAAGAGCTTTTCTTTTGCTAAATGGTGGGACATAGATAAATTTTAAAAAATAATAATTTACTTAATTCATTGTCATCAGGAAAGCCTGGGATTAAAATTCTTGATTTTGAGGTTATAATGGTTTTATTTGGTTTATTATCTTTGTATGTGATTACTTTAAATGACAGAATAATAAAGCTACTGAATTTAACACAGTCCATTAAACTTAGGTGAAACCCATGTAAATAGAATATAAGTGCATTACAATCTCCCTCTATTTTGGGCACTATTTAATACTCCCAGGTACTTGAATTTTTAATGTGATAATAATATATATATTTTTATGTATCTCTTGACACAAGTGTTGGGTTTCTTAGAGATATAATGATCACTTCAAAGTTTATACTTTTTAGAGATTTCTGATACATATAAATTCATATGTATCCAAAAGCACCCAAGTATTTCAAGTAGTAGAAATGCAGGTTACAATAGTCACTGTTACTTTGAGATTTTCAAAGCTGATCTCCTAAATGAGTAAAGAACTCAAAGTTTCTCAAAGACCAAAAGTATTTAAAGTTGACACTCATTGGACCATACATTTATTTCTACTGCAAATATACTGGAAGGCTCTGCTCTCTGGAATTCCCATTCTGCACTGATCCAATAAAATCTGACTTTACAGATTTTCAACACGTACCATAAATGAATCCCTCCTACTCGGCTTCTCTCCAACTCAATAATGGCAGTCACATTCATTACATTTAGTGAGTCAGACTTTCCGAAGTGCCTAAGTCACTCCCAGCTAGTATGGCAGGTGTGTGGTGAGTGACGTTAGCTGTTTCAGAATTCTAGAAAACTGTGTAAGTTTAAAGCAGCCGTGGTAATGCCCTACTGGCCTGAAAGAGTAAATGCACGCCCCATTAATGCCTCACATATGACTTCTGTGTTAGAAAGAAAAGAACGCAATGCTCTTTTTAAGAAAAGCAAAAGCTTATAATTAGAAGGTTTGTTTAAAATATTTATGAATCACTTTAAAGAAAAGTTGTTTCCTATCTTTGCCTCATTACTATAGATTGTGGAATGCTAGGTAAAAAAAAAAAAAGAAGAAGAAACTAGTCTTTATGACACTAGAGACCTCATTCCTTTTTAAAAACTGTCCAGAAATAACATTAAGGGTCTATCTCAAACCCACAAAACCAATAAATATAGAGTAAGAGAAGCCACTACATCCTTATTACCCCTTTGCTAGTGTGGCTTGCCCTTTTTCTCTATTCACAGTTGAATAATTATTTTTTTCTCCTGGAGAACATGGAGGTCAATCTAAAGTCAAGATTGGCTCTAAATGAATGTGCTGTCTATGATACCTGGCTCTCCTCCTGACAAGACAAATGTGCTGTGTTATATAAACACACCGGAGAAGGCCAGTCACACTCCAAGTCACAAATTCACAGGCATGTGATAGAAGACATCCCAGGGTTCATGACTGTGAGGCTGATAACTAATGAGCTCTCCAATTAGAACGTGGAGAGCTGGGTATATGCTTGGGAAACTGAATAAAATAATCAAAATGTTTAAGGTCTGATCAGCAGAATTTTTCAAGTTCTAAAGTTCTTACTTTGGAAATCTCCTGTACAGTATGACACCGAGGGTCTGGAAACCCTCCATTTAAATGTCGTCCAAAAAAAGAAGAAAAAGTCAAGCCACTTGGAAGAGGTCTCTCTTTTTAAAATGTTGTTAACTTACGTCAACTCTAAATCCCTAAGAGTGCTCCCTTCATATCTATGCTATGTGGCTGTTGAGATGAAACCAGAGATAATAAAGTGGTTTTGTATTAAGGGCCTAAGAAAGCTTGATCTTCATAAGGCCCAAACTTCATGCGGAGTCAAAAGCCAGATAATTAACATAATAGCATGTGGTCTTATGTGGACATTTTTAGGAAAACGTGGTTTTGAGTTATCTAGGGAATTGCTCTACTCCCCCTTCAGTTTGTATTAATAGACACATAGATAAAACTTCCAAGTATCCTGGAAACCTTTATCATTATTGCCCTTCAACAGAGTCTAGAAGTCTGAACTGACGCAAGCCAGCTGAGTCTCGCCCGCTTTTCAAACAGGGCTGCGTCCCGATTATCACTGCAATGTGGTCACTTGATTTTAAACGCAAGTGTGCGTCCAAATGGCTGAGTGCAAGCGGTCGGTCGTGAGATAGTGCCCCGCGCGCTGCCCCAAACTGCGATCCCAGCCAAGCACTCACGGACAATGCACTGGTTTCCTCCAGGGAGCGTCTTCCATCCCGGGCAGCAGTAGGAATGGAATCTGGAGCCGCACACGTTGGGCCTGCGAGAGACAAGAGCGGTCACACACACACGAAGGGATGGGGGTGCAGTAACTCCTCAGTGGTCTTCTAACCCAAGCCCCCCGAGCGAGTAGATTTCAGGACAACAAACCAAATTCTTGGGGCTTGGGGGCAGCCCTGTAAGTAAAAAGGCGAGACGCTGGAATGCGGGAGGGTCAGAAACGTCTAAACATTCCCTTTCGTATGTCCTCCCTTGCCTTCCTTTAGAAAGGGCGAAAAAGAGACATGGAAACATATAATTTGCTATTATTCTAGCTTCCAGATGCAGAGAACAAAGAAGACATTCCGTTCCAAAAACCCTCGCCCTCCTTCCCAAATCCGTCCCTCCTCGATCCACTGTTGCTTTGGCCCCGACGTGTCAAGGAAGGCGCGTCGGAAGGTGGAGTGCTAGCGTTGATGATTAGAGAGCGAGCCGTAAACCCCCGCACACGTCCTCAAACAAAAGGCTCAGCAGCGGCGCCCCCGACGGCGGGGAGCCGACTGGCTCCTCCGGCCCCGGCGCGGGGCGGACTCTGGCCCGCCTTCCTCCCGGGATTCGGAACCTGCTCCCGCACGGCGGGCTCTGCACACGCTCCGCGATCTGCACACGGGGGTTTCCTGACCACCGGCTGCCCAAGTTCCCGAGGGAGGGCTTTCCGCTAGCTGATCTGCGGGGTTAGGGAGGAAAAGGGGAGGCGCTCCTGGGGATCTTGGGTCTCCTGGCGCAGGGGGCTGTAGCTCTAGCCACCAGAACAAGAGTCTGAGGGGGTGGGATGGAAAGCAGCCAAGCCCAGGTTCCCTCCACCAGGCGTGGGGCCGTTCGTCCACTTACCCTCGGAGCACGTCCTGCTGTCCTCGCCTGCGGACGCGGCTGGCGGCCGCGGCACCCTCCTCCCGGTACTCCGGTGCCAGAAACCCGCCTTCGGAGCCCGCTGTAGCGGGCCGGACCTGTTGCGGCGGCGGCTGGGGCCGAGGAGGCTTGGGAAGCGAGGGCTGGGACTGGCCGGCCGTGCCCTGCGCCCAGAGCGCCACGCAGCCCAGCCACACGAAGTAGGGCTGGAGACACAGCCGCCGGCGTCTCCCCATCGCCGGCGCCAAAAGCGCGCGGCCCGAGACCCGCGGAGAGGGAGTGATCAAAGGCAAAATCTGCGCCGCCCAGAAAAAATGTCAGGGTCTAATAAGCCCTTCGTCGGCTTCCGGGCCTCTGGTGGGCTTGAGGTCCCTGATCTAATAGGAGCCCCAGACTGAGAGCGGTCCCCTGGCTGCAGGCGGCACGGGGCGCGGGCTCTGGAGCAGTGGGCGGCGAGGCGCAGAAGTGGTGCAGCCGGCAGCCCCGCGCGGTCCACGTTGCATCCCCCGGGCGACGGCCCCGAGCGACTCCAGGACCGCCAGCGGGCGGGGGCGGGAAATTACAAAAGTAACCCGAGCAGCCCTGGCGTAAAGTTACAAAGAAAGTGGACCTCAAAAGAAAAAAGGGCCTGCATGCAGCAGCTCGGCGGATTCCCGTGCGCTCCGGGCACAGATCTTGGAAAGCTGCAAAAGTCACCAGAAAGGCGCAGGCAAGCAAACAAAAGTCGCCCCCAAAACAAGAGGAGGGTCCACCTCTGGGCTCACTCGGAGTCCCACGGGGCAGCGACGTGCGGGCAGCGGCTGCAGAGCCGGGCGGCGGTGCGCGGGGCCCGGGGCTAGCGGCCGGCGAGAGAGAGGGCGGGAGGCTGGACGCCAGGGAAGATGCGGCCGAGGAGGGCGCGGCGCGGGGGTTTTAGAGGCCCGGCGGGGCGCGGGGCGGGCCGGCGGGCGGCGGCTGTCAGTGGGGGCCTGGGCGCAGCCGTCCACACGTGGGGCGCAGCCGGACCAAGGGGCCGGCGCGGAGTGGGCGGGGACAGAGTAAAGGGGCGATCGGGAGCCGAGGAATGAGGGGAGCGGGGGCTGGGGGCAGGGAAGAGGAAGGAAGGGGGGGCGGGCGAGGGGAGGGGAGGGGACGGAGATTGGGGAGAAGGGGGGCGAGCCTGAGAGGAAGGCTGGGCTGGAAGAGGGACTTGGAAAGAGGGATTGGCGAGCTCGGGTGCGAGAGGAAATGAGCGGGGGATGGGGGCGAGGTTAGGGCGAGGAGAGAAGTGGGAAAGGGGAGGGAGGGCCGAGCGCCGGGCGCCGAGAGGAGGGGGCCGGGGGCCGGCTAGAGGGGGCGAGGCGCTAGGCGGCTTTGCTTCCCGTCCCCCTCAATTGGCCGCTAGCTCTGTTTTGACTGCTTGTACAAAGCGAGCAGACGGCGGGGGAGGGGGCGGTTAGGGACCGGATTTGGGAAAGGACGCAGCCGCCCCCTCCCCTCTCCCTCCGCCCTCACCCGCCGCGGACCAGGGACTAGGGTCTCTAAGCGCGCCTGGCGTGGCTGGACCCGTAGCTGAACTTCCCTGCCGGACTGAGGCCGCAAGGTTGAAGATGAGAACGACTTCTCCTGCAGAGACCAGGTCCCTTACCCGGGATGGGGGGATCTACAGCCAGCCAGGAATAGAGGCTTGCACGGAAGTTGGTCGCAGCCTCAAGCCAAGAAGGCAGGGCCTTCTCCATCGCCTTCCTACCCCCACCACCCCACCAGGAGCGGCGTCAGTCTGCGGAACCCGGAGAGGGGCTGGGCGTTTCCAGATTGAAATGAGCCCTCCACCGCCCAGAGGGAGCTCACGCGGCCGCAGCGAGCCCAGGCAGCGCGCTGGCGTTGCGGTCCAGGGCAGTCAGCGCAGGGGGTGTGCTCCAGTGTGAGCCCTAGCAGGGTTCTGCCTGGGTTTATATTCAGGGAGGTGTTAGAGACCCCGAGGTGTCCTAGGGGTTGGGGCGGTGGCAAGAGGGAAAATGGTAATTGGGGCATATCCCCGGTTCCTGACTTGGACCCCTTCTGATTAATAATTAAACCCTAGCAATTGGTGAAACCCTCCGTACCTGTAGTGCGTGTGTGCTCGCTAGCTCTGGGATCTTCCTTTGTGGCTCTGATGATCTCTTATTCATAATTTTAAAATTTCATAATTAAAAAATCAAACACACCTAAAAACCAGGAGTGGCCATCCGGGCACAATTTGGGAAATAGTTCAGAAGAGCAGTGTGTAAGTTTTTCAGGTCTAGAAAATATTGCTTTAAAGAAAAACATGTGTGTGCGTGTGTACATTGTTTTCCTGGCCCAAATTGCCCGGATGTGCTATTTGTCAGGCAGAATTCTCTAAGAATTGACATAACTTCCTTCTTTATTTCCTCAAGGTAGTCAGAGTCTTAAGGCAATAGCCCTTCTTAAAATATTCTTATAAAGCAGAAATAGTAGTTACATAATTTCATGTGAGGCATCAATTTACTAAAATCCTAGGAAATGTAGAACAATAGAGTTATTTTTCATGTACTTTGCTTCAAACCGATAAATCGTTTTAACTAAAAAAGCTAAATAAAGTACTATCTCCTGGGTTAAAGTAGGGTTTTAATCACATCATTTAAAACATCCTGTATATGTTTTCTCATTTAATACTTAAATGGCTGTTCATTCCTATCACATTAACTCCGAATACGCTAAAATTGCATGTCTTTACCCTTTGACCCAGCAATTCCACTTTTAAGCATCTAGATAAAAGATACATAGGCAAAAAATAGGAAATGATGGATGCAGTATGCTGTTCACTGCAGTGCTGTTTGTAATAGCAAAACACTAAAAACACAAACATCCCACCAATAAGGGACTGGTTGTATGTGGTTTAATCCATTCCATGGAATACTATGAATGAGGAGGAACTCTGCTCCTATGGAGTGATCTCTAGCATACACAGTTCAACTTAAAAAAAAAAAAGCAAGCTGTAGATAGGATCAGCAGTTCACTGAGATAAAAAATAGAATAAAGGTGACCAGGGGCTCAGAGAAAATGGGAATGATTAGTTATTTAATGGGTAGAAAGTATTTGTTTAGGTGATGAAAAAGTTCTGGAAATGGATAATGATCATAGTTACACAACTCTGTGAATGTACATAATGCTACCAGAATTATATACTTAAAATGGTTAAAATGGTAAATAGTATGTTATGTCTACCTTGTACAGTTTTTTAAATGAGAGATAAGAATATCATACATTGTATGCAGCCTTTTGGATGTGTGTCTGTGCCATGCATTGCTTTTTGAAAATCATAGAAGTATAAACCACATCTAATAAAATGGTTATTCATAGGGAAAGGAAAGAATGTAGGGAAAGAGACAATGATGGAAGCTAGGCCTTTCTAAATATACCTATTTGTATATTTCTAGCTTTTGAGCCATGTATATACTTTATATAATTAAAAATAGAATTGTATTTTAAAGGAGCAAGCTACAAATTGAAAGCAAAGCAACTTAAATAAATTTGCTTGACATGCTGCTGGCATAATCATAAAGAGAACAATTATTCAAAATGATATTTAAGCACAGTGTTTGGGCAACAGAGTACACTTTTAGTGTGATATAACCTAAGAATAAAATGAAACAAATAAATCTGAATTACATTCGGCAGCAGTAGTTTGTGTGTGTGTATGTGTTTTGTGTGTATGTATGAGACAGAGAGAGAGAGAAGACAAATATAAAACTATGGATATCATTAAAAATATGTACTTCAGTACAAAAGAAAATACATTAAATATAAAGCAAAAATAAGAATCTTATAATTTTAAATTGAATTAAAATGCCAATATGAAATCATGACTTATTTTTCTATCTTGCGAAAAATATGTACATTTCCTATTTTAATCCACTTCAAACACCTAGAAGTGACAACCCAACAACAATAAACACGGTTGTGAGCAGATTGTGGTCCCTAAATGGGATTTTTCAGTAAAAAGGAATTGGGTTCCTTGAGTAAGTGGCTGATTGCAAGTCTGAGAAAGGAAATGTATAAGTCTGGACTACCTACTTTGTCATGCCTGAAAGCATGAAAGCAAGAAAATTATCAGACTATTAGGGTCATGTAAAAACAAAAACAAACAACAAAAAAAACTTGAGCTAACTTGAAAGGGTTCACACTGGCTAAAGATGGGGGAACTTGAGCATCAAAAAGAGAAAAATGACTGCAAAGGATTGAAATATATGAAATGTGTAAATATTCAAGAATTCCAAAGATACTCCATACAAAAATTAATTGGCCACTTTAAAAAAATTTTATTGTATTATAGTAATGTGGGGTACTAGTGAGGATTAACTACTTAAGTAGGCTGCATGCAGGTGAAGTTTGGGTTTCTAACTGGCTCTCACTCTCCCTGGTAATGAATCAAGTACACTTTGTAATGTCACCTATCCCCAACATCTTTCCTCCCTCCCTCCTCTAGCAGTGTCCAGCGACTGTCAATTCCTCTCTTGTGCTAATGTGTCAGACAAGTGTACAAGGCCCACTTATGAGTGAGAACATGCAGTATTTATATCTTTGTTTTTCTGATACTTTACTTAGTGTGATGGTCTCCATCTCCATCCAGTTTGCTGCAAAGTCCATGATTTTGGTGGCATATTCTCTTAAGGATTCTCCATCACTGATGAAACATAGCTTGGTGGTGTAGGAAATTCTTGAGTGGAATTGCGTTTCTTTAAGAATGTTAAAGGTTGGACTCCAGTCCCTTCTGGCTTATCATGTTTCTGCAGATGTGAAGTGATTGTGACAGTTCTTCTCTGGTAGGTAGTCTGATCTTTGTCTCTTACTGCCTTTAGGATTTTTTTCATTCATGCTTTCTTTGTGAAGGCAGATTGCTATGTGTCTTAGGGTTGGTCTTCTCATGTGATGCCTTGCAGGGATTCTCTGAATCCCTTGTACTTGAGTGGTCACCTTTCTAATGAGTTGTGGGAAGTTGTCTTGAATGACCCCATGGAATATTTGTTCAGCAGTGTTTTCAGTTTCCCTTTCTGCTTCAGGGATACAATCAGGTATAGATTTGGCTTCTTGACATAGTCCCACTTCTCTAGAGGCTTTGTTTCTTTTTTGTCAGCCTTTTTTCTATGTTTTTTTATTTGACTTCTTGACATAGTCCCACTTCTCTCAGAGGCTTTGCTTCTTTTTGAGCCTTTTTTCCAGATTTTTGACAGACTGAGTTAATTCCATATTTTGTTCTTAAAGCTCTGAGATTCCTTCCTCTGCTTGGTTGATCCTGCTTTCTATGTTTACTTTGTTTTTGCGTTCCAGGATGGAGTTCTTTATTTGCATTATTTTAGAATAGGCTTTTCTGAAATTGGCCAACTCTGCTTTTACTTCCTGTACAACTTTGGTGAGTTTTGCTTCTAGTTTCTCTTGGTTCTCTCTGTTCATTTTAGCCATCCGATCTCTGATTTCTGTGACTGTCATCTGGGGCAGGTTATTCAGGATGGTATCCATTATTTGTGCTCTGATAGCTTCTTTTTCAGGCACTGTCTTTTTAGTACTCTGAGGTTTCCCTATATTTTCATGTATTTTTTTCTCATTTATGGCATGCCTCTCCTCCCTGTATGTAATTCCTTTTGGTTTAGTTGCTCTGAAGCTAACCATTGACCCTCTGTTCTAGGACCCTTTCTGTGATTCAGTATAAGTCCCTCAGTGAGAGGGGGAGGGGCATTCACTTCTGCTCCTTGCTCCACCCTGTGGCAGGTTTATCAACTGTAGTAGCCCCTGCTACAAGGTCTCTGTGGAGACCTGGTAGGGGGATAGGCCCCTCCTTCTGCCTAATGTCTGCAGTTGTAGCCCAGAAGCTTCCCACAGAGAAAGCCTTCAGGTGTATT